GGGGGGGGGTCATCTTCTTTATTTTTCTCTATTTCCTTGGACTTCTCCTCCCCACTCCCATCCTTCTTCTTGCCTTTTTTGTCCCCTGATTCTTTTCCTTTTCCCACCGCCTTCTTGTATGAGGCATTTCGTGGGCATTCAGGATCTGTGTCCGTGTGAAAGAAGTGTCTGCACTGGCTACACCAAGGTGAGTCTGCACAAGCAACCTCCAACTCCACGAACCCATAATCCCCCATGTCCACTATTAACAGCTTCTTATAGTTCAATTTGGCTGATGGGGTAAGGTCAAATCGGATCGTCCACAGATCAGGAGCGACTGGGTCCGAAAATGCCGGAGAGGTGCGCAGTACTTCACCAAACACTTTCTTGACAGCTCCTCGGATATGAGGAAGTACTGACACAGGGACTTGAAGCACTCTGATCCAAAAAAACGGGTAACTCATGGCATCATTCCATTCGTATAGTTGATTCTCATCCATCCACGGCTTGAAAGAAAGTGTGTATTTCTTTTTGTCAAATTCAATGACATCCTGTCCCTTACGAAGCATCCAGGCTGCTATCTCCCTTGCACTAGCCACATAGGTCACAAGATTTCGCCCTTCATGCCGGAACACACCCCTTTTTGGAGGTACCTTCAGCGACCCAGCTTTCACCCAGCCATCCTCGTAAATTCTAACCAACTTATTTTTAACTTTGACCGGAACAGACGTCAAGTCGTCTCCAAAACGAATTGACACAGCATGCTGACGTAACCATCCTGCCTGGACTTCAAATACCTCTTTGTTAACTACAACCCGTACGAAATCGGGGCCCGTCTCAACTGATTGAGGAGCCAGGCCTTCTGGGAGGATGCCATTTGCATAGCACTCCTCCAACATCCCTTTGACCCTCTGCTTATCCTCATCTGTCAACTGGGCTGGAGAGACAACCTCCTTGGCCGCCATGATGGCCGACCACAAAAAGACCCGACAAACTACCAGCAAAAGCAAACAAATTAAACCCCAAGTAATCCTATTCCTATTGCCGATGATAAATAACCAATGCATCGACCGCAGAACACTGTGGCGAGCATTCAAAGGGAAGCATTCAAGGGGAAAACAATCCTGGAGCGAGGTTACCCAACGGCCTTCGGTCTGGTCATGAAGCGCTGCCTCTTCTCCTTCCACGCGGGAAATTACCAGAGCCTTGAAAATGCCGAAAACGAAGAAGGCAAGGACTCTGGACAGTCGCCGCCTTTTCTTCTTTTATGTCTGCGTCGTGAGTCTAGCATATGGAAACACTCAAACAGTCTACGCGTGGATAATATCCGAAGGCCGTTTTGATATTTTCCTTGGGCCCCAGCTCCCTCCCCCGATGCCCTGCCAAGCCGTTGCCGAAGCCCGGAAGTTGCAGAGCGTTAATGGCCGTGTAGGGAATTTTGGCTGGGCGAGGTACTGGTGGTTTAATAACCACAGCCCTAGGAATCAACAAACTCCAATGTCTGTGCTCCACGATGTATCTATGGGACGCTGGACCCGGTTTCCAGCAGGTGCCGCTCCCCACCAATAGACGGAGCAGCCTGACAGATAAACCCTCAATTCAGATGGTTCTTGTACCACCGTCAGGATAGAGGGATATCGCGAGGGCTTTTCTCAAAAAGGAAAAAAAGAGAAAGGGCTGCTATGTGGTATGTGGAGTCCCATTTTTTATGATGGAGAAACCTCGGTACTTGAGCCACCAGTAGATAGCCGAGCCAAGTTCAGAAGTCAAATGAGCCTCTCCTAAAAGTTAGGCGACTCGCCCCACGGTGGGCCTGCGGACGGGTGGGAATTTTTGTTCGTCCCATGCCGCAGGGTGGGCAGGCGCTGCGCGGGACAGAAAAAATTCCTGCCCGCCCTCAGGCTCCAAAACAACTCTTGTCCAAGTTGAGAAGTCAAATGAGCCTCTCCTAAAAGTTAGGAGACTCGCCCCACGGCGGGCATGTGGGCGGGTGGGAATGTTTTTTGTCCCACGCCGCAGGGTGGGCACTGGGCAGGCCATTGGGCTGGTGGGAATGTTTTTTGTATCACGCCGCAGGGTGGGCACTGGCGCTGCACGGGACAGAAAAAAATTCCCGCTCGCCCTCAGGCCCCAAAAAAATTATTGCCCGTCCTCAGGCCCGCTGTGGGGCAAGTTCCCAAACTTTTATAGGAGGGTCATTTGACTTTGTCATAAGTACTTGGCGACCCAGCTATCGATTCCGAGCCTTTGACTACCTACCGGTAGGCCGACCCTTCCTGAGGCTGACGCTACAGGCAGTAAGTACTACAAGGTTTTTGGCTTACAATTATGAGCTAAAACAAAAGAGAGAAAAGAAAAAAACGAACAAAATTCTACAAAAAAGAAAAAAAACAAGAAAGGAGAAACAGGAAAACATCCATCATACTTGTTTATAGAAGATAAAAAGAAGCCAAAGTTTGTTCACCA